AAATCTCATTCTGTTGCCCCGGCTAGAGTGCCATGGCATCAGCCTAGCTCACAGCAACCTCAAACTCCTGGGCTCAAGTGATCCTCCTGCCTCAGCCTCCAGAGCAGCTGGGCCTACAGGCATGCGCCACCATGCCCGGCTAATTTTTTCTCTATATTTTTAGTTGTCCAGATAATTTCTTTCTATTTTTTTAGGGAGGGGGTGTCTCGCTCGTGCTCAGGCTGGTCTCGAACTCCTGAGCTCAAACGATCCGCTCGCCTGGGCCTCCCAGAGTGCTAGGATTATAGGCGTGAGCCACCGTGCCCAGCCAGAACACTATTTTTAAACGAGTGTTTTCTAGGGATTCTGGAACAGTTAATTAATTCCTGGGTTCACAGCCATTGTCTGATTTTCTACAGTCTTTTTTTTCCCTATGCTCTCCTGATTGTAACTTGCAATCAAATTAGGTTATTCTCATTCTCCTCACTACTGGAGAGACCCACTTCTCTAACGAGAGCTCCCTTTCATGTTGCGATCAGTTCTTGTTTAGTTAACCCATGCCCTGGGTATTCAGTGAGCTCCTGCAAGCCATTGATTTTTAGTTTCCCTTTTAAAAACTGATGAAATGCCTTTGACGTGGAAGTTCTACATCCAGGACTCTCTCTTGCGCAAGTACACATCTGTTTTGCAGCAGTACTTGTAATATTGAAAAATTGAAGACAATCTAAATGTCTATGAGAGAATGGAATTATATACACACTTTCAAATTTGCCACTGTTAAAAATGAGGTAAATCTGTATGTACTCACTCTGGGAGGCTGAGGCGGGAGGATTACTTGAGGTCAGGAGTTCGAGACCACCCTGAGCAAGAGTGAGACCCCATCTCTACTAAAAATAGAAAAACTAGCAGGGAGTGGTGGTACATGCCTGTAGTCCCAGGCACTCCGGAGGCTGACGCAGGAGGATCGCTTGAGCCCAGGAATTTGAGTTTGCTGTGAGTGAGGCTGATGCCATGTCATTCTAACCTTGGAGACAGAGCAAGACTCCGTCTCAAAAAAAAAAAAGAAAATGGATATCTTTATAATGCATATCTTCATAACCTCAGAGCAAGGAAGGATTTCTCACATAAGACTCAGAAAGCACCAACTATAAACGTAATAAAAAAATTTTCGTGAAACAAAGAATAAGAGACACAAAGTTAATAGACAAGCAACAGAAGATGTTTACAATACATACAACAGAATATTATCAGAATATAAAAAAGAAAACTTCTGCAAGTCAATAAGAAAGATACAACTCTGTAGAAAACAAAGGATATAAAAAATCAATTTTTTTAAAAAAAGGTAAAAAGAATGCCAATAAACATAGGAAAAGATTCTCAACTCAGTGATCATAGGAATATACTTTAAAATTATTGTGGAATACCTTCTTACCCCCATCAAAAAGGCAAACATTTTTTAAAAACCTGATTATCGAAGTGTTGGTGAAGATGTAGTAAAACAATACAGTCCGCAGTTCTGGTGGCAGTGTTAAGTTAGTAAAGCAACTTTGGGGAAAAATTTGGCAGTTCTTAGTAAAATTTGAAATGTACATATTATAAGTGTCACTTCTATATATAGTCCTAGAAAAACACTCATACCTAGGTTTACAGAATGTTTATACCAGTACTGTATGTAATAAAAAATTGCAACAACTTTAATGATCATCAAAAACAAACAAATTGTGGTATATTCATCAACACATTATCCATGCTGCAGATGGATTTTTCCCTTATGTAGAAAGAAAAAAATAATTACCTGGGTCCTTGTTACTTAAGATTTCACTGTAATTATAGAGATCTGGGAATTTGTGACAGCATGAGTGGATGAAATGTGGATTCAGTTTGACCATTTTGACAGCGATCTTGAAAATCATTAGGCTTGATATAGAATGTCAAGCCATCGTTTGAGAATTTGGAGTTCTTTTCCAGATGCTTCCAAGAAGACCAAAGATGACTTTTGATATTACAATACATGGAAGCCAAGTCAATCAGAATTCTGAGTTGCACGCAGACTCTGGGTTACTTAAATAGGAAAATAATTGATTGCAAGGCCATTGGTTTAGGAACACAATTGACCAGAACACTGGGGAGCCAGGATGAGAAAAGTGAGAGGGTCCAAGGGAGACTGGACAGCAGAAACACCAGCCAAGGTCAGAGCACCCATGCCAACACTGGACTTCACTAAAGCTGGATCCTTGGGGCTGCAGTGGACTCAGTGCCAACAACTGCTGCTCTGAGTAAATTCTAAACCGTCCTTACCTCTCTTTATTACTCACCTGGTGTCCAGAATACCAGGTGCAATGGTCCAATGGCTGAGTCTGTGTCATGAGGAGAGAGAGGGAGGATGTCGCTACCTTGGCTTCTTTGATGAAAGGTAGAGCTCTGGGTCCCACTAATACAATATATAACAAGGCATTCTTTCAACATAGGAAAGGTTGGAAGCCTTTTGTAGTAGAACATAACAAACTTTAAAAATATAGGAAAGGAGATTTGGATGCTAAGCAATCCCACACCAGCCCCTCAAATAAGAGTCAGATTCCAAAAATAGTTTGAGGACTAGATCTGTGTTTTGTTTCTTCCCAAGAACCTGGGCCCTTTCCTGGGATTGTGGACATGTTTGGAGTAGGAGGTGGCCTCCTGGAGTACCGAGCTAGTCTGCTGGCTGGGAAGGGTTTTGCTGTGATGGCTCTGGCTTATTACAACTATGAAGACCTCCCCAAGGGCATGGAGAACCTCCACCTGGAGTACTTTGAAGAAGCTGTCGACTACCTGCGCAATCACCCTCAGGTTGGAGTTTCGTTTAGACAGCAGATTTCTAAATATTGTTGGTGCAAGAGTAATTGCGGTTTTGGACCATGAATTTTAAATCATTATAACTAGGCCCCAACACATCTTTATTAATCAAAATAGGAACCATTATAATCACCACATTTTTGCCAATGAGAAGTAAGTTTTTTTATTCCTGTAGCATAAAAATCCATGCTTGGGAATTCCATGAACTCTTGGAAAGCATTTTCTGCATCCTTCTAGTTATGGAAGCGTTTTTCCTACAAAAACTTGTCAAGATGCTTGAAGAAGTGGTAGTCGGTTGGTGAGAGGTCTGGTGAATATGGTCGATGAGGCAAAACTTCACAGCCCAATTCGTTCAACTTTTGAAGCACTGGTTGTGCAACTTGCCATTGGGCGCTGTCATGGAGAAGAATTGGGCCCTTTCTGTTGACCAATGCTGGCTGCCGGCGTTGCAGTTTTCGGTGCATCTAATCAATTTGCTGAGCATACTTCTCAGATGTAATGGTTTTGCTGGAATTCAGAAAGCTGTAGTCGATTAGACCAGCAGCAGACCACCGAACAGTGACCATGGCCTTTTTTGGTGTAAATTTGGCTTGGAAGTGCTTTGAAATTTCTTCTCGGTCCAACCACCGAGCTGCTCATTGCTAATTATTGTATAAAATCCACTTTTCATCACACGTCACAATCCAAGAAATGGTTCTTTGTTGTTGCGTACAAGAGGAGAAGACGACACTTCAAAACGATGTTTTTTTTTATTGTGGTTGCTTTTCGGTCAGCTCATGAGGCACCCACTTACTGAGCTTTTTCACCTTTCCAGTTTACTTCAATGACCATACAATGGTCGATGTTGAGTTCTTCGGCAACTTCTGGTATAGCCGTAAGAGGATCAGCTTCGGGGGTTGCTCTCAGTTGGTTGTTGTCAACTTCTGATGGCCGGCCACTGTGCTCCTCGTCTTCAAGGCTCTTGTCTCCCTGCAAAACTTCTTGAACCACTACTGCACTGTGTGGTTATTAGCTGTTCCTGGGCCAAATGGGTTGTTGATGTTGTGAGTTGTCTCCGCTGCTTTACAACCCATTTTGAACTCGAATAAGAAAATTGCTCAAATTTGCTTTTTGCCTAACATCATTTCCATAGTCTGAAATAAATATAAAATAAACAGCAAATAATAAGTTATTAGCAAAAAACATAAAGTGAGAAATGCATATTAAAACGATGTATAAGATAGCCACATTTATTTAAGAATGTATTCCAGTATCAAATGGCGAATTTCAACAATGCGAAAACCTCAGTTACTTTTGCACCAACATAATATCTCTCCTAGCCAAGGTTAGATTAATTTTCAACTCAGTTGTCTGCGGATGTTCTGTGGCAAAATCAAATATTTAGTCTCTTCCAAATTCACAGAGAAAAGTAAATATCTCAGC